AAACACATTTCATTACACCAAATACACAAAATAATGTTCTTTTTAGCAGCATCATATGACCCCTTTAAAAATAACCATTTTATTTATTTGTGTGTTTGTTAAATGAACGTCACATTAAACCATCAAGGAAACTTTTCTTTCTATCACACCTATCACATTTACTTTTGCTATTTTACAAATGCCGATTATATTGTTTTACCTTTGTTCCAGTCTCAGACTTTTGTAAGATATGAAATTTCAACATAAAAAAATATGAATTACAATGTTTAAACCTTGATAACATAAGCAAATGGAAATAAACATTACCCGCTTAAATATTTTTTTAAGTGAAAACCTTAAAATATGATCATTATGATTATCAGAGGTGAATACTTTTACTACTACTACTACTAACAACAACTATAATAATGCATTTATTATAATAATAACTTTAACTATATCATCCTGTCCTAATTGTTATTTGTCTTTTAGGAGATACTTTCTTACCCAAAGCAGAATATGGTAACAAGAAGAACGTAGAGCAAAATGGGGTTAAGGGCTTGGTGACAATATCAAGTCCCAGTAATTTCCCCTTTAATCGAACCACCCTTTCCGGTAGTTGAACCCTTAACATTCAGTTTTCTATCACAGATATTTAACCACCATGCCACCCCATCACATTCTAAAACACACCAATGAAGAAATCGATTAAGTATGTCATTAAGATGAGCCCTAGATCGTAAACAAATTTAGATATGACTATCATAGCCATTTTGAGCTGGTGAACGTCCATTTATTTGCGTTCGATTTACACTAATGACCTGAACTTTGAATAGCACATATTATGTTACCATGTGATGTAGCCGTAGCTGAAAATATCCTGCTGATCAATGCAACCTCAGTTTTCCCTGTCGCCCATGCTGAACCGAATCCCACACACTGAACATGAAGTTTTCGCAGATTAAATAAAGTGAAACTGGTGCTTTTGTATCCTTTTTAAGCTTTAAGGAAATGGGCGACCAGCACATTCTTCAAAATATCTCTTTTTGTGTTCTATGCTAAAAATTAAGTAATAAAGGGTTGGAATTACACGAGGGCAGGTTTTGGCTGAACTAATTCTTCAAATGTATGATCTTGGGATGGAATAAAATGACAGCACTTGAAATATCCAGTGAGGTCCATTGCTTGTAGCACTTGTAAATACCCATAAAGCTCATGCAGTGAAGGGTCTGTGGGTTCTGACACAGTTTGCACTTTGCCCCGAGCAGCCCTTATGTCTAGAACAAGGTTCGGCTTGCTGCTAAAAGAGCAGCCTATGCCTGATCAAAATGACTCAGCAATGGACCTGACCGTTAGCGCCTGAGGAAATCTGCTTCCAATGAGCTCTAAAAGCAACAGCAATGTGAAATAAATTAAACATCAAGAAAGCATTATTTATTTATTTATTTTAATCTCAATGTGACCTAATGCATTACAATGGCTTTGCTTTCCCAGTTGGTGCAAGGATCAATAGAAAACAAAAAAGTGTGTTTTTTTCTTTCACTTGCATAAAAGTGTTGTGATGGTATAAGAGGGTTCTTTGATAGTAATTACAATACTCAAAAATACCATAATATTTCCAGTGCTCTTATTCAAATTAAACTATTGAAATTTGTTTTTCTTAATTGAAATAATGCTGAAATAAAATCTAAATATTAGATAAAAACTTTTTAATGTTTTAAGTTTTTTTTTTTTCAGAGTACTACAATTACTAAAATTAAAACTGAAATAAAAATAAATTAAAGGTAGATAGACATATTTAAAATAAACTAAAACTAATAAAATGGCAAAAGCACATACCAAAAACACTGGAATTATTGGACTACTAAAATAAAAAATAAATAAAAAAATAAAAATAAATAAAGCAATTATAAAAAATATGAAAAACTCCAAATAATTAAAAAATAACACTGAATATTGCCATATTACATGATCAAAAACCTAAAAATTTACATTTCAATTTGTTAGTCTTAATTCAAAGTGATAAAACACAAGTAAGTTGGATAACTCAACAGGTTTCAGTTAGCTTGCCCTTTAAAGTGCACGTTATTAAACATGAGTTTAAAAAAACAGTGAACGCAACTGGAGTTTCTGCTTGGATGAACAGAATAAAAAGCAATTTTGAATTATGTCTGCTTTACAACAGTCAAACAGACGCCTAAAGCTGCGAATGAAGATATACATGGAGGGCATTTTCTTTTTCACAGTCATCAAATCCAGTTTAACGCGCATTAGCCTCACCTCAGCGTTTCACGACGTTCAGACAGACATATTCCATTTTCTTTTTAAGTCCATCACTGATGTCTATGCATAAAATGCGATGCAGCACAAAAGAACACCTCTGTCATTTTAAGTAAGAATCTAACAGCTAAAAAGACGCAGGCTACAGTGCTATTTATAGGCTTTCAGGGAGACTGTGGAGCAAAAGGCAATTAGTGTTTTGCTGCCGGGCCCTTGATGTGTGATTTCTAAAGGCTGTTAGAGTCACTATCAGAGTTTGGCAGTGAATATGTATAAGGAACATTGTAAACAAGAGCACGATTAAGGCTTAACTAGACTGCGGATATAAAGAGTGCCAAACTCAAGCGTTTAAATGCTAGAAATCTTGAAGAAAGATCACGTTTCGCTCTCAAAAAGTCAAAGCTTGTGATATAGCTATATGGATCCACAAATATATATCCACAAAATGGTTTAGGTCCAGACACCAAAGAACGTTGCCAGGTGGTCAAAAGAGCCCAAGTCTCAATAATACTCGGGTCTCTAGATTTGGATTTCTTGTCTATTTTTTTTGTCATCTGTCAAGCAAAATTTGAACATTAAAGCTTAAAAAAGAAAACCGCATAATTTGAGATATCATTAATGAATGGGAAAAGTTATGTGCAGATATGTAATACTGACTATGAGTAAAAGTAAAAGTAATGCTATGAAAATAATAAAATAAAATAAAATAAAATGGTAACACTTTACAATAAGGTTCATTAGTTAACTACTTTAGTTAACATGAACTAAGCATGAACAAGCTAATGAACATGAACTTAGCTAATGTTAATTCCAACATTTACTAATGCATTATTAAAATCAAAAGTTGTGCTTGTGAACATTAGTTAAAGCACTGTGAACTAATATTAGCTAACAATGAACGACTGTATTTTCATTAACTAACATTAACAAAGATTAATAAATACTGTAATAAATGTATTGTTCATTGTTTGTTCATGTTAGTTAATAAAATAAA